CGGGGGTGGCAGCGCCAGTCCGGCAGGGGCCCTGCTGTGGGTCGCTGCTCGAGGGTGGTGTCAGGGTCACAGCAGAGAAATGCAGAGGGCAGAGGGCGCTGCAGGAGGGGGACACGGCACACTGGCTCTCATCACCCCAAATCCCTGGCTCACCCGTGCTCACTGAGGCTGGGTGCTTCCTTTCTGTGGGTGTGGACAGTGGACAGTGTGTGCCCCGAGACGGCTGCCGCCAGAAGGGCGTCACTGCCCAAACGCCTTCACCCCCAATCTGCTCCCCAGACCCCTGACTTCCGAGTCGTGTGGCTGACCCCCGTGAGCAGCTGTTCACAGCCGGATGCACTCAGGGCTCCACCAGCAGCGGGGTTGCCCACACTGAGTGCTCCCCGTGGCTTGGCCCTCCTCGCCACAGGCCCCCGGTCGCTCTCAGGCACCCATGTATGGTGGCCGTGGGGACAGGTGCTCAATTCGGTGGGTAAATGCCAAGGGTCCACCTGCTGCATTGTTAACTCTGGTTTTCAAACCACATGAAGGTGATTCACCTCAACAGACAGAGGGGAAAGCAAACATGGGCTTCAGGGAGGGAGCTGCCCATGGGCGGGCCATGCTGGGCAGACAAATGGCAGTGGGAGGCCCACTGGAGGCCTCCCCTCCAGAACAAACAGGCTGAGCAGTGAGGCTGCACTGGCCGGGGGGGCAGACCGGGCCGGCCCCACCCCTGCCAGTCACGGGCCACGTGATGCTGGGCCCGGCCCTCCCTCCTCCGAGCTGCAGCTACCCTTTCTGAAGCACGAGGCAGTGGGTCAGCCCACCCCTGGGGTTCCTAGCTTCAACAGAGGAGACCTGGGGGGCAGAACAGCAGTTTGCTTCCTGGGATTGGGGTGCTCAGCTGCACCCTGCTAAGTGGGGACAGCACCGCTTTGTCTCTGATGGCTGGGGCGACTGGCACAGGCATGCAGGGACGGGCAGACCATGCGGTCACCCCGTGAAGGTGCAGGGAGGCCTGGCTCACGTGGCCAGGGCCTGCAGTCGGGACAAAGGTCTGAGAGCCCAGTGGCCCCCATGGCTTCCTGGGCAGCTGCAGAGTGGCCAGCCTGTACTGAGTCATGTGGGCTCTGCAAGACCAGAACCAGGCTCCTCCCAGCAAGGAGAGGCTCCGGGTGGGAGGCCCCAAGGGTGGACAGCAGCCGCCACCCCCCCCTCACTGTGCCCCATGGGCCTGTGGGGGCGG